CCAAGAATGGAAAAACAAGGACCACATGTACTCAGCATCAAATTGGTATTAACTGATCAACACTTAAGTGCACATATAAGAATAACATTTATTGGATGTTGGGCAGGGGAAGGGGGGAGGGCGGAGGAGGGGATGGGCATATGCACGAAGAATATGTGCGATTTGCACCACCTGGGGGATGGACACGCTTGAAGCTCGGACTTGTGGGGGAGGGGGGGCAAGGGCAACATACATAGCCTAAACGCCTGTATCCCATAATATGCTGAAATAAAAAAAAAATTCTAAGAATATTAAAAAAAAATGAAACATATCTACACAGGTTATAACAGCAATCCTCATTCATGCAGTTTCCATAAATATAGTACAAGGGTCAAGGCCAGGTGGTTGTAGCATCACACAAACCTGAAGGTCTCTGGATGGAGAGGTCTGTGTCAGGGTTCATTAGAAACCCTACCAGTACAAGACTGGCCACTTGCTATGCATACTTGGCAGTTCTGGCAGTCAATCTCAGTTATATAATAACTATCAGTAGGCTTCAGTTTGGTGGAAGGGAGATCCCAGTCTACAGTGAAAATTTTCTTCATGCCTACATCTAAATATATAACTGGTTTGCCCTAATATTCACACTGGTTAAATGCTGTTAAATAAACCAGTGCTCCCTCTCAACCTTCCATGAAGATAAAATTGAAATCAAACGTTAGGATCTTTAATATAACCAGGTTTCTGTGATATAGCTTCACCTTAAATATTGTTTTGCAACCTGAAAATATAGAGCTGTAATACAAACAGTTTAGTTGGTGGGAGCTTTTTGTACACAATAAATTTTTAAAGGAATATCTTAATATATTGCCTATGTGAAGTTCCTGATGTTACAAAGAAGGCAGTTTATTTTCAACACACTTCAAGTTTAGAACAGCAGCTCATTTTATCATTTAGAACAAAGGCATGTTCTCTCTAGTAGTTTCTGATATCAAGTTCAGCTTATAAATTTGCCTTGAGACATGCTCACAATAAAAATTACAGCTTGTCTGATCAGCATCGTTCCATTATAGTACACCAGGATAGCACCAAAGAGGACAAAACTAAAATGACTGAAGCAAAATACAGTGAACACAAATAGCCTATTACAGAAAGGCCATTTTAGGAGCCCAACATAGAAAGAGAGTTACTATTATAAGTGATCATTTTGTTATTTTCATACTAAGAAGAGTTCAGAACAAGATCAGCAGAAATATGCTGTGGCCTATATTCTGAGCCCCTGAGAGAAATACAGTAGATGATTCAATAAGTGGTAATCTTTGAAAAATTGTATCTGAAAGTCAAAATGTAAGTGGATATTTTTTAGACATGCCTAATCATTATTTGAAAATGCAAACCAATCCTAGAATCATTAATAAGCACCTAAATAAACATTAATTACCATGGCAAATGTTGACATTTCTTTATTAAGTGTAGTCAACGTTTTCTCAGGCCACGGAAGGAATGGGAAAATCTAGAGCACTCGGAAGAAGAGTTATCTGTGAAAATAGTATTAGTATGTTACACTAATACGGCCCATTTCTCTACCTAACCACGTAAGTCCACACTCACATAAAACTCAGCAAACGCTCACTCTGAGAATCTATTAAACCCGAGCCCTCCTTGCCCAGACCCACACCCTCACTCATGCACACAGAGTAAAGAATGAATGTCTGTAGCTAGAGTTCGTGAATGATAAAGCCATGCTTTGCTGTTCTAATCAGCCTTATTTGCTTAACATCTTACTGAGATTATTCTTTTATTCTTACTACTGGTCTCCTATCAGATTAGCATCAATCCGTGGGCACTAAACAATACTGAGAACTTATAGGTAAGTAATATTTAGTTATTGCATAAATAATACATATACTGAGAGACCGTAATTAGAGCAATTCTGTGAAAATAAATTTTAAGAATTTCATTGGCTTGAGATTGTTTTTAAACTCTTTCCCTCAGAAGAATAAACACTTAAAAGCCCTTCAAGCATTTAAAATTAATTTTGATACATGTGATAGTCTGATATTAGATATATCTGATAGCAATAGCTTTGACATTGAGTACATTAGATGTTAAAGTCAAGAAGGTCTGTTATTTGTGAGGGGTGTGATGTTAGGTACCCCTGTGTGCCTCACTTTCTTCATCTATAAAATGTAAAGAATAACAGTGTCCTCCTCAAAGAGTTATAACGAGAGGACCTGTCACATCCACAGTTGATCAAGTTATCTGTTGTTTTTATATGAAGATCAACTATTATGATTCATCTTTCTATAATACCCCATTTAAAGATTTCTAATTTTTTTTGTGGAATTTTATTTCTTGGTAGGGTCAGATGACTCCTTATAAATATTGTTGAAGAAGAATTAATGCATTGGAATAGAATAAATAATGTTCGATTT